GAAAACCTGAACTGAATCAAAAAACAAAACTACTGAAAGACAGAAAGCATTATTTTAAAATTCGGATCTGATCATTTTACTAAATGTTGTTTGTATTACACCCATTCACAAACGCACTCATACAAAATTTACAATAGCCAATAGCCATAATTGCCTAAGTTTATTTATCAATAGATTATTAATTGATTTCCTTATATTATGTCTAGAAGTCTGTTTAAATAAACTTAGCAAAAACAAAAACCAAATAGCTACCACGGTCATAAAATGAACCGCAAAAACAGACCAGTTAATCAAATAATTTTAGTATTTGTAACCAGTAATGAGAATTTAATTTTTAAAATCGCAGTATGAGTTAAAAAAAAAAAACCAAATAAATAAATAACTTTCATTTGATATTTGACGCAACAAAATAGTAACAAACAAGGAAATTCTTAATATATTAAACTCGGTTATTTTTTTAATATATATATGTATATAATATTAAATATAAGTCAACAATATGGTTATTAATCTTTTGTACTCTAATTATAATTAAATTACGTCAAACATAATTGCGGTATTTAATTATATACTATAAAATATTATTTAGTATATAGGTACATTTTGCGTATTTATGTTGGTACAGTAGGTAGAAATATTCTTAAGTATTTTCTAATTTTTGTAAATTTTTGTAAGTATGTAAATGTAATAAACGAATATTATTTTCAAATGTTTCGACTATGAACTCGGTAAAATTCTAATTTGCGATTTTATGAGTTGGAGCTAAACAATTAAATATGGAATTGTGTTTTTGAACTTTAATATACATATAGGGCTCCGCATTACATATATAGAGTTCAGAGTTGTAATAAAATTGAGACAATTTTAAAGTGTTTAATTTCCTAGTTGAGGTTAATTTTTTTTTACGTATTCTTTTCTGTATACGAGTATAACTTTTCTTAATAAAATACGGTTCTTTTCAAATTTACTTAGATACTTACACTGTTTATCACTAATATTCAACTATACAGATGTATACACAAAACATAAAAAATAATAAATTCGATAACAAAACGCCATTTGCATGCTTGATTTATTCATTTTTATATTAAATTCGGATTTTGATGACAAAAATATTTAAAAAGTACTTGAGGGTTAATATAAATAAAAATTGCTTACACATAAGCATGGTGGTTACTTTTAAATTTTAATATATCAAATAAATTATAATTACTGATTTATTTGATTAATTTCTATATATAAAATCGGAAATATTAAAGAAAAAAAAGAAAAACTCATGCAATAAAATGTGTTCAAAGTTCTTGTTTTCATTTTATTTTAATTTATTTTTTTTACGAGAAATGTACGCAAATACGTGAAGGAATCTTGTTAATAATTGTTTAAACATTTAAAAAAAAAAACAAAATAAATAAAAAAACTCAAAAGAATTTGAAAAAATATTAAAATGAATCGAATTATCTAAGTAGTGTCACATAAAAAATAATTGTAAAAACAAAAAATTCACCTGTTTTTGTTACATACGAAACTATTTAGGTATTTATAAAATTTTTAGATCTAAAAAATTGATTGAATTTCTTAAAATTAAACATGATTTGTTTAAAATATATGATAAATTTACATATTAACACATTATTATCAAAAAATAAAAAAAAAAAAATGAAAATTGAAGCATTTTTTTTCAAAACCATTACAATATTTTTTATTCATTTTTAATGTTATTCATATTATTAAATCATTTTTACTGTTATTTTTATTTTTACTAACACAACAGCAATATTACGCACTTTATTATACTTAATTCTTTTAGAATTTTATTTGAAAGAGAGCGTATTATAAAATTAGACTCCCAAAAATTTTAATTATATTATTTTGATGTAAAAAATTCTGATTTTGCATAAGTACTTCAATTTCAATTCGACAGTAATTAGAGTCAAAGCAAAAGTAGTGTGATAAAACTATTAAATTATAACCAATGCCATTTAATATGTATTATAATCTATCATGACATTTACATTTATACATACTATTTTATTTGTGTCATAATAACAATTACAATCAATTTATAATTGCTAATAATTCGTACAATAATTTTCGTACAAGTGTATAAATACAAAGTAACGTATTTATCTTTCTTTTTCCAAATTTCAATTAATTTTTTTACATTTTTATTATTTATTTCTATCATTCACTTTCGGTTATAATTACACCTACCGATAAGAAAGGTCAAAACAAAGAGTTCAAATCTCTATTTAAATTAAACGTCCTTCATTTCAATTAACGCAATATTTAAGTACATACCATCATTCAATTACTATATATACATATATATTGTATGTGCATATGTATAGTAAAATGCAAAAATTTAAAAAAAAAAACCCAAAGAGAAGTATAAAATTTTAATTTTCATTAAAAAATTCGGTAATGCGAGAATAAATGCATAGTTGAATATTTTATTGGTTAAATAATATTATTATTAACGGTGCACAGAAGAGTGTTGTCAACACTAAATTGATTATTAATCAACTCAAATGAGTTTTAAATGAAGTATATTATTTAGGAATCGATTCTTTTAAAATTTTGTAAATATTATCAAAGTATTATACATGTAATATGTAAGTACATATATAGATTTGTATGTATGAAAATATATTTCAAAATATGATATGAAATTGATCATTTGAATTGAAAAATTTATTGTCAATATTTTACAATAAAAGGTTCATAAAAATACAAACAATAAATATTGTACATATTTTATAAAATATTTTTAATATTTTTGAAAAGTCTTATTGTTATATTCTTATGTATTTATAAAATTTCATCTACATATATACATACATCTAACTGCACCTATTATATTCATAGACATTGTATTGGTATTCTTTTTAAACATACATTCATAAATAAAAGTACCAAAAATATATTGAAATGTTATACATAAATTACAATTAAAATTAAATTTAAAATGCATATGCACATACATAATATGTAATGTATTTTTGAATACGACCTAAATATTAACAAAACACTCAAATAATTATTATTATAACATGGTTTCTTATTTTACAATGATAAAATATTTTAAGTGTAGTATTAAAATTATATTATACAAAAAACTTACATATATACATTCAATCAAATTCGAAAGGGATAAATTAAAAAATTTATAAACACACAATTCATATCACAAGATTAAGTAACTTGTGCATACTAGTGTATATGTGCATATTATATTTTTCAATATACAATTATATTGTTTATAATGATATGTTATTTGCCTAAAATATATTTTGACATTTTTACTATTTTTCTTTAAAATTTGCCGCCTCCGTAACACTATATAAACATGTATGTATATGTATGTGCAAATGACTCGATGTTATTAATAAAAAATTAAATTACAACGTCAAAATATCATAGAATATTAATAAAATGTCATAAAAGTGATGAAATCGTTAAAAATACTTTGATCGATTCTATTATAGATATTCGATACTTATACATACATAATAGGTTATGATACTCGTATGTCTGCATCACAATAATATTTTTATTTTTTTTTTTTGTTGTAAATATTCATTTACATAAAATTTTTTTTATTATTAATGCACTGTTAAATTTCACGCATTTTAAAGTAAGTATATTTTGCCATATTTTTTTATATTTAAATTTTTAAAAAAAATCTAATATACTTATCGGATCAAGAAACAAACTTGATTCATATCAAATTCGATTGAATATTTAGTATATATGGATGTATATATGTAGTATGTGTAAATGTCAAAAATAAAAAAAATGCATATAGAAAAATTTGTTTAGGAAAAAACAGAATAAATATTTAATTTTATTTTAATGTTAATTTGGCAGTGGTTTTCCTTCAGACGAAGTCAAAAAACTTGTTGCATTTAATGCCTTTGAACTTGTCACAAAAAAAAATACTCTAATATCGGAAAAAATCACAAAATTTTTTTTTAAAATTAAAATATTCATGTTACTTTTTTTATTTATTTTGATTTGTACATTTATGTTTAAAGCTTCTTAAAAATAATATTGGAAAAAAAATTTTGAATGAATTAATAATGAATGATAAATTTTAGAAATGACTTTGCAATTTTGATAATTTTCGTACATTCGAGAAGTTTTCCAATGCTTTTTTTTTGTTTGTCTGATATTTATAACAGAAACAGAAAACGTGTTTGAGACTATATTAAAATTAAGTTTTTTTTTGTATTTTATATAAGTACCTATACCTATTTGAAATTTGAAATGTAAATTTTAAAAAAAGGTGTATAATAATAATGAGCATATTGGATTAATGTTATTTATGCATTAGAAGAAGAAGAAAAGTTAATATTCGATAATATTTATCGATTTGTTGTCAGCACTAAATTTTCATTATTTAAAAAAAAATATGCCGCTTGTTTATTTTTTTTTTCATTTAGCGTTTGAAGATGTTTCTAGAAATGCAATCAGCATACAGTTATAAATTGTTTTTTTTTTTTTTGAATATTTAAATTTTAGAACTAAAATAATTATTGCTTTCCGGGTATGCAACACAATGATAATATTTTGATATATTTATCTTCATTATTGTAGTACCTATACTCGAATTAAAAGTGAGTTAATGATATAACGACATTACGATAAAACACATAAATATTTTGGAGATGCATAAACACAATGTAGCTCTTATGTAGTATTTAAAAATGTAGTTGACTAATTATTTTTATTACAGAAACTGTCAGTATTTTAGAAATTATGAAAAGGAAAGGAATAAATCAAAATTAGTTTGTAGTAGTTAGAAAATTTATAAGGAAAGATATTGCTAATTGTACCAACGAATCCTTTATTGTTTGGGAATTATTCAAAAATACTGCAATCATTTATTTATATTCAATTGTGGACCATTAATTGCGTTATTTTAATATTTTATTGAGCCTTTAATAAATTAAATTAAAATAAATTTTTAATTCTCATTTTTTTTTATGTTCTTATTTTAGGTGGATTTTTGTTATTAGCTGGTGGTCTGATAGCTATTGTGACTGGTATTTTAGTTGGTATATATCACCCATATGATGTAATTTTCAAATGGGTAAGAAAAAAATATTACTTATAAGATGAATTGTTGAAAGAATTTAAAATTAAGTAGATACCTAATATATTGATGAAATTAATGTTAACTATATTAAATAATTATTGAATAAATAAAATTTTTAATTTAATCTTATATTAAAATTCTTTTACAGAAATTAAAATTTGGTGAAGGAGGTGAAATATTTACATTATGGGAGAAACCTCCAGTTGATCTATATATTAAGATTTATTTATTTAACATTACAAATCCAAATGAATATTTAGCTGGAAAAGAAAAAATAAAAGTTGAAGAAGTTGGGCCATATGTATATAAGTAAGTTTAGATTTTATTTTTCACTTACATATATTCGGAAAATTACCTTAAATCTTTTAAGTAACACAAAAAGTTAAATGGTGTTTTAACATTAATGAGAAATTTAAAATATTTATTTTTTTTCAGGGAATATATGTCACATGATGAAATTGTTTTTAATGATAATGGAACTGTTTCAACTATACCAAGACATCCATTAGTTTGGCAAGAACATTTATCACAAGGAAATCATGAAAATGATACAGTTCAAATGTTAAACATTGCATTATTGGTATGATTTCAAAATGATTATTTTTTAAATTAAAATATTTTAATGGAAAAAATTTATAACAATGCTTCCTCCTATCTGAAAAAACAAAAGATAATTAATAATATTATTATTTTAGATAGAGAATTAATTATACTAAGAAAAAGAAGGCTTTATAAAATCTTTTTAATGTTCTAGTACAAGTATCATAATCCCCATTATATTAAACATGATAAAAGTTTGGTTATAAATCAACTTTTAAGTTGTTTTCCAGAAAGGAAACAAAAGTATTTATAATAAAATACATCAATTTTATGATGTATCCTCATAAAACCAATATGTATATTTTGCTAACATCATTTACAATTAAATGTAATAATTACAAAGGATGTTCCGACTTACAAATAAAATTAACATATTTTAATAATTTCATATACTTAACAATTTTAAAAAATTATGTTTAAATTCAACATTTTTTTACAAACTAACTAAAATTAATTTATATTTAATGGATTTTGTTCCATTATTTTATTATATGCACACTCGATTTTTATATAAAAAATTAATTTTTGTTATGTCATTTAATTATAATTAAAAAAACTACTATGCAATGACTGTCTCGTTTCTTTTAATTAAAAATTTTATAAAATAGCATTTTAATATTTTTATTTTTACATATATAATTTCATGTTATTTTTTATAAATTTAAAAAGATACATATATGTATTAATTTTATATAACTAACATTTTTCTCATTTAAATAACACAATTTGTTTAAAAATTCAAAAAAAAAAGTAAAACAACAAATTGTAATTGCATATAATGATTTTAAAAATAACACTGTAATAAAAGGTTACTTAAAGTCAATAAAATTTAATTTGTAGTCCAATTTAAAGTACAAGTGCCTTAATTATTTTTAATTTACAAGTATAAAAAATGTCTATCTTAAAAATCTACTTGACAAGTACAGATTTCACTGTAATAATTTTTAAACAATTTATAAATATTTTATATTAATAAAATGGAACATAGGGATTACCCTATTCATTTCAAATGTATATCTATGTAAATATGTAGGTACCTTCAAAACAAGGATAAAAATAAACAAATTCAAATTTTCCTTCCTAAAAGGTGTTATTCCCGCACTCATTTAATACCTTGAATGTACATTTAAATAACAATTATTTTTATTAAAAAAATTTTAAAAGCACGAACTTAACATATTGACCTAATTCGTTGTTTACAATTCTTCTTTTTAATTCTTACTTGCAATTTTTTTATTAACACTATATATGCTCTACTGGTTTTAACTTGAGCCACAAATATTACATCCATCCATATTACAAATACTTAATGAATAAATAAATAAATTAATCTATATAAAGATTAATATTTTTTCGTCATAATATTATATAGCATTTATTAACCTATTAACATTTAAGAAGTACTATGTAGTAATTACATGTAAAAGTAAAAAAAAAAAACAAAATAAACGGTAGAAAAAACAAAAACGCACTTGAACTTGAGACTTTATTATAAAGTTCAATTTCTACTTTTTAATAAAATAATTATTATGTCATTATACATTTACTAGATTTCCATTAAAGTTCAAAATTTCTCATCTCAGCATTTTTATTTTTCTGACAAAAACAATAAAATAAATTTCAATACCGTGAAACGTCATAATTTGTAAATTTAAATACTTGAAGATTTTGTTTTGTGAAATTTATTGTTGGATTTAATTGCAATGACAAGTGGTACAGTAAACAATCTTAATTTTTTGACATAATTTCCTTTATTTCTCATTTTATTCACTTAAAATTTTTGATAAGCATAAGATTGAATTTTAAAAAAATATATTATTTATTAAATAAAATCCGTCAAGATTATGATGAAACTTGAAATATTTCAAAAATATTTAATAATTTTAAATACATATATATATTTGTATTTCGCTCTTTTATACATGCATACTTATATATATGTATGTTTTAATTAGCTCTTATTAATGCAAAAAGAAAGCATTGCATTACTCGTGATTAAATGAAATTATCAACATTTAACGTGTATGTGCACACTTTTATATAAAAACAAATGAAATAGAAAAAATTATAAGACGAATATTATAACCCTTTTGTGTATTAATTATTTATTTTTTAAAAAAGGTCATCAATTTTCTGCATTTTCTAAATTAAAAACAAAGTAACAACAAAAAAAGAAACAAGAATATAAAAAAGAAAATATAATTTTAAAATTCTTAGTAAGCAATTTGGAAATATTTTTTCAATATTTGACACATTTAAAACGTGTTTAAAAAAATAATAATAACAATGTGGATGAAAATTATTAAATGTCAATAAATTAATCAGAGCTGTTATATTTATAAATATTATTCGTACCGTTTGTAACGACATAATTATGAAAAACCGATTAGAAGCAAATTATATGTATTTTTTGAAGTTGATTTAATAAAAACGATCAGTGGCATCTCGAATCAGTGGTTGTGTCAAAATTAATATTATACATAATGTATAATAAAAATGAATTCCAAGTTACATTTACATTTTACACAATTTGTTAATTATTTTTACATAGGTGACTTAATTTAAATTATTTCACAGGTATTGCAAAAAATACCCGTTGGGTAGCGCTAACAAATCTATAATATCTCATTTTTGCAAGGTGTTAGCTATATAACAGTAAATTGATTATAATTAGATTGACATACATATTTATTATTTGAGTTGTAATTATCAAAAGCTTTTCATTTAAATTTTGAATTAATTACTAAATTATATATTTTATAATAAAATATATGTACATAAATATATGTGCATATCTACTTACTTTTTAAAGAGAATAAAAAAGATTTAAGTAAAAACTTCTGGTTCTTCAAGTTTTCAATAAAATCAAATTTTATATATTATATATGTACACACGAATATAACAATTTTTTAATCATAGCGCACAATTATTTTGCGCAAATGAAACAATAAAATTCGAAATTCCCACAAAAATAAAATTTCAATGTTATCTTTTGTCAAAAATTTCACCTTAATTTTAATACTCACACTTTATACTGAGTTCTACACTACATATTATACAAAAAGTTTAAAGAAAAAAACCGGAAATACACACATTGATAAATTCATTAAATTTTTTTAACTAATTTACACCATCTTTTAAGTAATACGTATATTACAAAAACAAAAAATTGATAATTTTTCCCATCATAAATTATGACGTATGCATATTGGAATATAAATTTTAATCAAAATTTTATTATTCTTTTCTTTTTATCACCTTGTCACCTAAATATTTAATATATAAACACTTTGTAACTTATTAAATTTTTATATATACACATATGTACATATGTAATATAATGTTATCAATGACCATAAATATTGTAAACACTGCTATTAAATTGCCGTAATCATTTTATGCACCACTTAATAAATTCTCATGCATGTTTTAGTTCAAAAATGAGCATATAAGACAAGTAAACGTCCAAAATAAGGTAGAGCAGTTTATATGCAAATACGAGTACTTACATTATATAAATATATAAATACAGTGTAGTTTCTATAACCCGAAATCAATATATGACTCAAATTTTAAAAAATCAAAATCTATGACAACTTGACTTGAAATGCTTAAAAGGATGAGAATTTTTTTTATTAATGAGTTCATTTAAACTTTTATTTCTATGTCTAATTTTGTAATTTTTTATTTTCAAAATTTTTGATCTTTACGATATTGAATTTTACTATGAAATATTTTCCTCAGTTGCAAATACCTCGAAAAAAATAAGAACATTTTCATAAAATCAAATAATTTTTTATGTAACATTCAATATTTTGAATAGTTCGACATAAAGACTCTGCACTGTATAGTGAATAAAAATGTTTGTAGAAAGAAGAAATACGCGTGTAATTCATTAGAGGTGCTTTTTTTTAAAGTATTATAGTTTATGGTAACTTGTTTTATGGTAATTTGTTACACACGCAAATATAAAGGTAAATTTGTATATTATGTGCATTTGTTTATTTGAGGGACACAATTTTCTGTATATATTTGTGTTTCTTTTAAGTGAGTAAGTCTTTATACTTACTTTATGATTCAGATTGATCAGCATCATATACCAGCCGGACCATTAATTTTTGATTTTATTTCTTATCTGTATTTTCCTATTTAATATGATTATGTGTTTCTTGTTATTGTTTTTGGCATTTATATGCATACACGTATTTAAATTGAATGCTTTGTTTATACTTGTGAAGTTTAATATTAAATATAATTCGGCAAAGCTGAACACATCAAAACTACAATAAAAAAAAACTTTTCATTTCAAAACATACATACATATGTATAGTAAATTTAAAAATTCAAAAATTGAAATTTAATTAATCAAAAATTTTAGTTAAAAATTAAATTTGTAATACGGAGTTGTTAAGAAATCAAATCCCGTGTTCGATTTAAACCGAAAATTTCCCAGAATGATGTTAAAATTCCAAATTTATTTTTTACTGAATTAAATAAAATGATGGGGTATTTTGGTAATTATATGTACTTACTATGCTCACATTGTCAATTAACAAAAATATTATAAGAAATTTCACTTTCTAACTTCTACAAAATGAAAATAAACAAAAGTATTTTCAAAACTGGTCACGTTGTGAATAATACGCAATATGCACTGTTTAATTTTTATAACATATGTTTATGTGTCCATATGTATGTATATTATTATATATTTTATATTAAATTTTAACTTAAACACCATAATTAACGGGCAATTGCTATTATAATTACTATATATGTGCATATACTTAGGTGTTAATACTGATAATCTTTATATTTGTCTTTTTCTATTAACATTATATTAAAAACTTAATTATAGATTAAAGGGAATATAATTATATTAAAAATAAAACAATTAATTTATTATGCCCAATAATAATATATATACATATAATGTAATTTTAACTAATTAAGAATATAAATAACACAACACTTACATTTATACAACATCTTCATTTAAAACACACTGCTATATAGAAATTATTCAAAACAAAACATTAATACAAGTGTCATCCTAAGCTTCTGTCATTTGGACAAAATTATATTAAAATAGGGTCAAATAATCCTAAAAAGCCTTGTCAGATAAAGAAAGTTCTTAACACAAGTTGACTAGTGTTTCGTAATTTTCACAATATGTGTTCATATTATATTTTTATCTACATATCTTCATTATGTATATTTTATTACATAAATTTATTTATTGCAATATGCATTTAATTATATTGTATTAAACACTTGCGTTTTGTTTAGCATATTTAACATTATATTTTATAATTACATGTTCATTACATGTTCAGCTATGATGCAAAAATGATCGATATAACATAAATCAGCTAAAAGTAAATTGATAATTAAAAATTTACCAACAACATATATTAATTGTTCAAATTAACATTAAATAATAGACCATTTTATATTAAATAATCGATTACCTTTATATTACTATACAATTAAAGTGATATTGCATAAGTATCAGAAATATTCTAAATAAATATCATAGCAATTTGATATTATAAATTCAAAACTGAATTTTTTTATAAATCAAGTTTAATATATTAACTGAATAATTCATAAATATCATGTAATAGTATTATAACCTTATTCATATAAATTCAACATGTAATTACAAATATGTAGTTTTGGTTTTTTCATATAAGCTACTGATTTAATTGTTTGAACTTGATACAATTGAGAATTTGATTTTGCATCAATCAAAGTTCAATTTTATTCTTTAGCTGTGAATAATTAATATATTTCAATAATTTAATTAATATATGTCCATACATACATATATATATCAGAAGTTGCGAACAGGAATATATTAATGTTCGATTTTGTTATGAACTGGTTTTGTTGAACTAAGGGGGTGAACAATTAATTGCATAATGGGAATTATTTAGTTATATAATTTTATTGTAATCGTTTTGAATATCGAATAATTTTTTTTTTTAATCGATTTAATATTATAAATTTTATCTTTTCACTATTTATAATTATTTTGTTTTTTTTTTATTATTTTTCAGAGTATTGCACAAGTTGGTGCAGATAAATCATACCTTTTTCGATTACCAATAAATTTACTAATACGTCAAACAAATAGTCAACCGATTGTCAAAATGACAGCTAGAGAATTTATGTTTGGTTTTGAAACATCATTAACAACAATTGGAAACACTTTTCTATCAGATTGGATATATTTTGATAAAGTTGGTTTAATTGATCGGGTAAGTTCATGTTCACCTAAAATTTTAAAATCTAAATTCAACTTAATTGCATTTAAGTGTTTATTGTAGATTTTTTCTATTAATTTATTAAAAAAGATTGTTTTTTTCTTGTATTATTTTAGATGTATGACTTTAGTGAAGATTTTGAAACATTTTATACAGGTGAAACAGATTCTAGCCTATCTGGTTTATATGACACATATATGGGATCAAAAAATTTACCACAATGGGACGGCGAACACTGTAGTAATATTGAAAAAGCTTCAGATGGTGCAAAATTTAAAAGTTTTTTGCAAGCAAATGACACAGTAAAGTTCTTTAGGAAAAGCATGTGTAGATCACAATATTTGGTAAGTTAAAAAATTCATTTTCATTAATATAATATAAATTATAGTACAATAAAATTGAATATCAAAAATAATTTAAATTTTAACAATATTAAGGTTCGTGATCCAAATGAAATTGAAGTTAATGGTTTCAGAGCTTATAAATATTCATTTGAAGAAAATGCTATGGATAATGGTGAAGTTGATGAAAGAAATAAATGTTTCTGCAAAAAAGGTAATTTTAGAATTTTGAAAACTTCGAAAATAAAAGTCATTTATAAAAATTTTAAATTTTTTGTATTAAATATAATTATTATTATAATTAAGTATTAAATATTTAATTTTTAAATTTTTAGGTTACTGTCCACCTAAAGGATTATTAGATGTCTCTTCATGTTATTATGGTTTTCCAATTGCATTAAGCTACCCTCATTTTTTGGATTCTGACACAAAATTAATAGATAATGTTGATGGAATGGAACCAGATGCCTCTAAACATAGTTCCTATTTTGTAATACAACCGGTATGAAATTATATTACCTATTTCTCTTAAAATGAAAATAATAAATATATTCATATTATATTAAATTGAAATAGGAATCAGGACTTCCACTTAAAATATCAGCCAAATTTCAAATTAATATGCATTTTCGTGATATTCGCTCAATGGCACGTGTTGGACGTTTTAGTCATCAAACTATTCCAATGCTATGGTTTGATATTGTAAGTACGCTTGTAATACAAAGACGATAAATAAAAAATAAATATTAAAAATTACTTTCTAAAATAACTAAAATGCATAATTTCATTAATATTAATTAATAATATTTTTTTTTTCTTTTCATTTTTTTTAAAATTATTAGTCCTTGAATGAATTACCGGAACCATTAAGGAATCGATTTAATTTATATTTAAATATTTTACCTCACATTGATACACTAGGTTTATGGATACCAATAGTTGGTGGAATTATTTGTGTTCTTTGCACAATTGTTCAGGCAACACTAAATTTGCCACAATTTGTTTCATCAACATCGAAAAAACTGGCATCGTCAAATAAAAATTCAATATATTCAAAAAATATTTTAAGATCAGACGTATATAATCCATGTGAAGTAAAACTTTTGGAATTGAAAGAAAATAATGTTAAAAATAAAAATATCAAAAATCAAACATATGGCCAATATGATAATAATATAATCAATTGTGATAATTATGAAAACAGTGATGCTGTTATGTATCAAATTGATTTACCAGATAATAATAATAGTAATGATAATAATCGAAATGAGTATGCACTTGAAAACGAACCAGTTATATCAGATTACGATTGTAGTTCAAAATCAAATTTTAGTTCTAGATCGACAAGCAGTCAAGAATTATCATCAGAATCAAATAATATTGTGATATCAGTCGAATCATCCAGTGATATTGAAAATATAAATAGTAATAGTAGACGAAATAGTAATGATTTCGACAAACAAATAGTAAGTACAGGCTATATAAATTTCCATACCGCACTTTAACATCAAAATTTTTTATGAATTTTTTTTATATAAACAATCTAAAATCATACTGGGAACAAGTAATATTACCAGTAGTTAAAAAATATTTTTCAAATTTCTAATAAAATAAAAATGATACTTTACAATAACAATATATAATATAAAAATTATAACTCTTAAGATATAATTTCAAGTTTAATGTTCATTATTTATGAATCATTTTTGAATACGTGCATAATTTAGTTCTTTGATTCAGCTGACATCAAAATTTTTTTATTTTTATTCAAATTGTTATGTATATTTATATTTATCAGTATATATTTATATTTAAAAATAAATTCAAAGTACAAGAATTATATAGTTAAATGGTTATTCATTATTAATATTATAAATTTTATGTTTGGCATAAATAAGTCTACATTATCCAAAATAATATAGCTTTAGGCTATTAGTTTTATTTATATGTTACTATTTACGGCAAAAGTGCAAGTAAAATGTTTTAGTGATAAATTTTATTTACAATCATCTGCATAATGAAAAAATGAATAAAACAAAAATATTGATGCGGACGTGCGTATTTCATTGAACAACTTTGAAAAGTCTTGAACTACTTTTTATAAAAAGACAAGAATTTTTATAAATAACAAACAAAGTCATTTATACCTATAAATGAAATTTAGGTCGTCATAAAACCCGAATTCAAATATATATAAAATAATTGTATTGATATCAATACTAATGACGAGTATATATTCACGACTTCATCATGTAAGTTAAATGTCGAATATTATATTACATATTGCAATTTAATAATCAAAGAAATTAGGTAAATAATATACAAAATTATAAATCACAAATTTCAATTATGTATTTAGAATTCTTATTTTTCACGTACACACTACATATGTGAACGTACAAAAATTAAAATTTATTAGAAGTCATTAACCGAGAAGAAGGAAGAAACCACGCGACAAATAACCTGTTTTTAAAAATCTCTAAAGTAAATGATAAAGAACTGTTAAAAGAAAAATTTTTATAATAATAAGAATTTTATCTTATTGAGGCTCAATCAATGAATTCAAATAAATCTTTCATTTATTTTATATATTAATTTTTTAATTTAACAAAAGAAAGAAGATTTGTAATATATATACCTAGTAGTTATAATTATTGAAAAGAATAAAATTTATCACATTGATTACAAGTAAATGTATGTAAATATTTTTATAAAATATTCATAAAATGAAAATTAATTCTAACCAAATTATCAAATAACAATTCTTTTTAAAAATTTTAATTCTAAACATTATGTTTTATAAACATTAAAAATTAATTATAATTATGTCCACAAATGTGTTGTCTGATTTTACAAGCACTGGGACTTCATAATAAATTTTTTAAATTCTATAATACATAATTTGGAATTCAGTCGATTGACAAATGGAGAAAATTTCACGTTTTGAAAATTAATTTACTATTTGAAATTAAATATAATTTATAATAAATATAAAAATAATATTGAATATAAAATTATTAATAAATTAAAAACAAAAAAGAAATTGATTAATAATTATTTTGATACATGATTAATAATGCCTTTAATATAAATGAAAAACTAGTATTGCAAATTTTAATTATTTTAAATTATTTTTACATATATAAAATAATACGAAAAGAAGAATTATAGGGCAGTAACATAAACTGTAGATATGTAAATAATAAATATTTTTATTACTTTTAAACGTAATTTTGTGGTAATAATTATTATTAATTTAAATCCGCTTAAAATATTAATTAAAAGCAATTAATTTATATTAAAAAATAACTAAAGATATGACAATTTATTTATTAGAATTTAATTATATAGCATGGATATACCATAACATACAAAGTAATTCAAAATTTAACCGCAAATTACTATATAATTGTCATAATTGTATTAATTTAATGTATAATTGCATATATAAATTAATAAAACAAGCATGTAGTTTCATTTGAATATTGTAAGTCATTTATACAATTGCATAAATTAACAATTTATTATCAATTAAAGCAATTTTTTTATTTTAACTAAAATAATTCCGTTTGCTTAATTCCTTTTTCTAATAGCATTGTACCTGTTGTTTTAAAATATTATATTGATCATTTTATATTTTGTTTAATTAGAAACGTAGATCTTAGTTAAATTAAATTATAAATGACATGAAATTTAATGTTTATGTTTATTATTAAGTTAGAATATTGGAAAAATTTAATGTTAATTTGCATAGATGTTTTGTTCTAGTTTTTTATAATAAAATATTTAAAATTTTAACAAAATACTAAAATAATGCTTTAATAAGAAACCCAAATAAATTTTAAAGTAAATTTAATTGGAAATATATTTTAGAATATTATTGAAGTAAGAATAAATAACAATTGATGCATAATTTAATATTAGAACAAGGTTATAATAGATTTAGAATTAAAATATATTTAACATAACAGCTCTTTAACGTTTTAAATACCCGCTCATTATATTTAAATAACATAATATATATCTGGTTATCATCTATTGTATATTTTTGATGAGCAGAACTGAGATAAGCAAATATTCTGATTTAAATTGAATCAGAATATTTTAAAAATTTCCATTAAATTAAAGCGTAATTTATTTTTTTTCTTTTTTTTTTTTCATTTCGTTGTTTATTGTGTTGTCAGCTGATCTCAACCTAAATCATTATTATATTTAAATTGAATTAATTGAATGATTAAATTATATTTTTAATTTATGATTTGGTAATTATCATTAAACATGTGGTATAACAATTATTATTTTCAAATTCTTTGTATATTTTAAGAATTTTTTAATATATTTTAAAAATAAAATTTTACATAATGTTGTATTAAATTTTGCATATCATTCTGATTATATTAAAAATTTATGTTAATATATAAAAAGGTTTCTTAAATTTAAAATCAAATATTAAGGTCATATTAAATAGAATTCATTAAAAATAGTATACATATGTATTTTATAAAACAAGCCAATTTATGTTTAATTTTAAAAAAAAATCCTAATTCATTACTCCCATTTGGAATATATTTATTTGTACACAAGCAAATAAGATAATAAATTGCAATAACTTTGTTTTACAATGCTTCTCCTACATGCTTAAATTAATCACAAATAATTTATTCGATTAATCATTAATTAATCGGTTCCATCAACAAATTAAAATTAAATTAAAAATTCCTAAATATTTTTAATAGTAAAAGCTTTTTATTTCTAAATTTCATTCATTAAAATTCACTAACTCTAGAGAATATTAGCATAGAATTATTTTAAAATTGGTGATAACGGTTCATTAAACGCGATATTTGGCGCTGAATATTAAAAAAAAAAAAAACAATTCTTTGTTTATAATTTAATTTCTTCATCCTATATTTATTTAATGATAAAACAAGAAAAAATCAAATTGCTATTAGTCTTCTTTTATTAATGATATTAAATTTTTTTCGTCATATCAATTATATTTTATGCTAATTAGTTTAACACTTCCGAATGATAATCAATGAAAGTAGATATTTAATTTACTATGTTTTTATATGTGTTTTGAATTAATTTTTAAAATATCTTTTGATATACGAACTAGAGGTATACGAAATTTAGGAAAACGTTTTCTATATTTGTGCTTTGAGAAATATTGTCATTTGAAACCGGAATTTTAAATTTAATTCATTTTTATATAGTTTTCAAGTTTTATAAATTCACTAAATTTATTTTTACATTTTCATAAATGTTGTAATAGATACCTTTATTATTTACATTTGATTTAATTTATTCTTATGAAATTAATTATTAATTTAATAAATAATATGAAAATAACATTAACCTTATACAGTTTAACTGTATTTAAAAATGAAAAACTAATATTTTTTTTATAAATAATTCAAATTTATTAATTGATTTGAAAAAAACATTTTGAAAAAACAAATATATTATAGTTGAAATTGTTTGAGTACAGTTTTAAAGTTCAGAAATTATAGCAGCCAAAATGGCACCATTTATTTCCGGTAAAGATTCAATTACAGTAATTTCTTTAAAATTTATTCAAAAATTTCCACTAATATACTAATAGAAGTATAAAATTCATATAAATTTTATTAGTTTATAGTTTACATTAATATTTTATTAATGTAGAGTTGTTTAAAAAAAAAAGTATTAAGGTATAGGTTTTTTTTTTGTGGTCTCTTGAAATTATTATTTTAATTTTAATAAAAATTTGTTGACTAACAAACACGTTGATTGAATCAATTAAACTTTAAGCATTGATTAAAATTAATTAATTAATCTATTCTTTATTATTTTTTTTTATTTGATAATGTTTAATAGAGTCAAAAATCAAGATTTTAAAATATTAATTTTTAATATTGATTTTGTATTAAAATTTTAATCAAATATTTTAATACGAAAATAAATTAAAAAAAAAACATTCAAACTTTGTTTGTTAAACAAATATTTAAGATCTTGTTTTATTTTTTAACATAAATAAATTTTATTCAAACATATTTCATATACTTTTTTTTAACAAAACACTTAACAAATTAATTAAAACATACCTATATGTACATACCAAATATGTTATTTAATTACTTAAACTTTTTTTTTTTTTATTAAAAAGCAGTTTTATTATGAGAAAAAAAATCTTAATTAAAAACCGCATAATAAATTCAAAAATAAATTAATTTCTTTGCAAAAACAAAGGTCATATTAAAAATTTCTTAGTATTTTCTTCTAGAAATTTCTATGACAAATCATATAAAATAATTGGACCCATGTCATATATCCATAATATTAAAATATTAAATTTAATAACTTGTTTTTACAATAATTATTATATGTATATAAATAAAATATCAAATGAAATATTATAGTACAATTAAGGGGGGGTTTACAATATACATAACGTACTACACCTACCGACATTCTTTATTAAAGTATAAAGTTCATAATTCGTATATGATAATTAATTATCATTTATGTAATAATAATATAGTTATATAAGTATATGGGAAACTATAATATTAAAATAACAATAAATCTAGTTTATTTCTTTAAATAAAAAAAAAACAATTTTAAACAATTTATTACAAATAATTAATTAAAAATAAGTAAATTGTCATGTTGTTCATAAAAGTAGTCGTAAATTGCAAATTTTGTATAGTTTTTCCTTAATTATAATTAACATTTATTTAATTTATTTCATAAATACCGAGATCACTTGATTAATTGAACAATGTTAGTTACTTATCAGTTAAAATCTGATTAGATCAATATGCTAGTCTGTTACTTATCGTTAATTATTAAAGTTTATATAAAATATGTAAATAAGACATAATTCAAGCAAGTAATGTACCAAAACTAATTAGTTTTTTGTGAAATCTTGTATTTCATTCTATTCATTTCCTAAAAAGTAAACCGTTGAGTAAATAAAAATACTTAAAATATTGAATAATACTTAAAAGTAAATCAGAAATTTGAAAAATTTGCATTTATGTACGGTTATATTATTAATTTACGATATTCATAATAATATTAACATAATTTATTATACCGATTACAATATATTTTTAAGATATTTTTAAATTTTTTAATCAATACTTCAAATATTAATTTTTTCTTAACTTTTTTATTTTTTTTTTAGATGCAAAATCGTTTGATACACAGAAATGATACAAATAGTGAAAATTCATCATCACGTAAACAATTTAACAGCAATAATAATTTATCAGAACCATGTTTATTAGGTGAAACTTCATCATCTATTGAAGATATTGGAGTTAATCAATTCACAGTAAATTCTGATGATTTTTCAAATACTAATAATGATCCAAATAAAAATTATAATCAATATGAAAAAGATACTCAACAATTACATCAGGAACATAATAGTAATGTTGAAAGAAGTAAAAGCAAAAACTTTAATATTTGAAAAAATATTATTATAAAAATATTTTAAGATTATTTATATTGTAATAGTTATTGTATATAATCGTAATATATTATTTAAATACGTATACATTCATACTCACATTCGTTTGTATAATACAATATTATATATATTTAAATATACATATATTTTCTATATATATATATTTATTATAAAACATTATATAATTATGATTATCTCAAAATTATATTATTACAAATCGAATTTATTTTAAAACATAGCAAAAAAAAAAAGCAAAAAATGGATATAAGCAACAATTATTTAATAAAAAAAAAATTGGTGATTTATACATATTTAGGGGTTAATTATACATAGAATTTAAGTTTATAAATAAATAAATATTTTAATTTTTATATATAAAAGAAAAAAAAAGTAAAAAAAAAATATGTTTAAAATCAATTCGATTAAATCGAATTGATTTAATTGCGTACATAAATGTATGATTTTTGAATTCGTCTCCAATAAATTATTAATACATATTAATTAAATTAATATATATTAATAGTATATTTTTTTAATATAAATTTATTGTATAATGTCTGTCGATTTATATAAGAAACTAAAGAAAATATTTAAGATGAAATTTATATAGTAACGAGATTTTTTTTTTCTTCTTTCCTTTACGAAAATTATTATAAATTATCAAATTCAAATTGAAATATGTACATGTTTAGTGTTGTAGTATACAAAAAAAAAAATATTATTATATACTCATATTTTATATAACATCAGTAGTTAAAAATTTAATTAACTCACTTAATTTTGTATTTTATAAAATTATTAATTTCAAATATAAAACTTAAGTATTTCAAAAATATATTATTAAATATATTTGTATAAATATTTTTATATAAAGTAGAGAAAAGTTAGTATTTAATAATTTATTTGATTTCAGTGTTTAGTTTTTTAAAATTAAAAAACAATATTTTTCAAATATCGGTTAGTTTTTCAAAAATAGCTCGTTAAAATTTTTTTATTGAGTATTGTAAATTCTAGTCTTAAAAATTTTAAACAAAAAAATTTGATCGACTAAAAAACTACATAATTATTTATTTTCAATATGTATCTAAAAACTATTAATAATATCTTGTCCGTTTTGTTTAAGTCTGTTTTTTTTGTTTTTGTTTCACATTCTGCACCATTCCATATTCTATATTTAACTACTCTATATCTGTACTTCAGTATCATATACAAATTGCAAATTAATATTATAATTTTCAACTTAATTTAATTAAACAACATATTTTTCAAATATTTAATAATTTAATTGCATTCCGATTAAATTTAATTTTAAATTTTAATTTAAAAATTTTACATATTATTTCTAAACATTAAAACTTTACTTTACATTAAAACCTATACATAAATTTTTCTCTTTTATATATCAGTATTAATATACAATATGTATATTTATAAATATTTGTTTTTTTCCTTATTATTTTTATAATTTTTCTTATACATTCGAATATAATATACATTATACATACATCATAAATCATATATTTTTTTACTACTTTATTTATTTAAAATTTCACTTTTTTTAATGTTAGCAAAATTAAGTGAGCTAAAATTAATAAAGATTTTTTAAAACTTCAAAAATGTATTACAAAAGCTTCTTTATTATATTATACTCTATCTATCAATTCATTAAAGAAATATGATAAAATTATAATATTTTAATATTGTATCACATATTTTATTCAAATTTTGTACAAATATTGTATAATTATTGCAATATTTTATTAAAAACAAAATCGATTTGAAAGATTTTTTTAAAAAAAGAAATTAATATAATTTTATTTTATTCATATTTAATATATAAAATATTAGAAAAAGATATTGTAAAATTATTATTAAATCTTTCATTGAGTTTTTTAATAAAATATTATTTTAATTGTAATAAAAATACAAAATTATAATTTTATTTCATATAACATTCAAATATCTATCTACCTTTCTAAATATATTTTTAATTAAACCAATTATATAACAATTATATTATTAATGTATAGACATTTTTATTTATTATATTTATACAATTCATATCCTTAATCTTTTCTATCAAATTTATTATTCTTCTTTTATGATATATTCCATTTTATAAAAAAATCCCTATCAACTAAAAAATAAAACCTCTTAAACTCTTTCAAATGAATGAAATAGTCTATTTAATTATTACTTGAAATTCTAAAAGTAATTGAATACAATTAAAATTAAATAATAAATATATTTACTATATTTATTATATAATTAAGGTTGTGTTATAATTTATTCAACCAACATTTCTTTAAATATATTATTTATATTATATATTTTGAAAAATCAATTTTTATATTATAATTTTATCAAATAAATTTTTAATAAATTTTTAATAATGATTTCATAATTTTAACATGAATTTTAATAATAACTCATAATTATCTTTAATTTTTTTTAATTGTATTGTTTTTAATTTTATTCTTGTTCAGTATGACATGACTGAATTAAAATAAATTTTAAATATTGCATACAAAAAATGTTAATTATAAAATCAAATATTTTCAATATAATTATTTTTATTTCAAATTTTATTACAAATTTTGCTAACAAATAATTTTTTTCCAAGCTTATACTCTTTTTAAATTTAAAGTTTCTAAAAATCTTATATTATTTATATTTATTATAAAATATATTATATATATTATTTGTATAAAATGCACGCACTGTCAATAAAAAAAAAAATTAATTTTTAAAAATTTTTTAAATTTACAAAAAGAAATTTATATTATAAAAAAAACAATGCTTTAATTTACATATTTTAGGTGTTGGTACTTAATAGTAATTTTGATTTTTTTCCAATATTTTTCATTTTGTAAGAAGTTTAAATAATAAAATGTATGTACTTTAAAATTTTGAATCAATATTGAGAAAGCATGAAATACATGTGAATGTAATGCATCTTATATTATTATTATATTATATATGTATATATAAATAATATATAAAATATATATAAATTCAAAATTTTAATGAAAAACAATAATTTATTAATTATTAATCCATTCAATAAACTAAAATAAAATTGTGTTACTATATAAAAAATGCTTAAAATAATTTTTTAATTGAATTCATTTTTTTGCCTCCATGAGGTAACTTAGATGTTGGGATTTTTTTTTTTGTCTTGTAAATATGTATTATTATACTATTATTTTATTGTATTTTTAAATTTTAAATTATTATTATTTTTTTTTGTACATAAACAATATATTATTTCCTTCTACTCCAAATATTAGCTATAAAATTTTTTAATATTAAGTTAAATTTTGTAATACAAACAAAATTGTATGCGTCTCTTATTATAAGAAAAAAAAATAAAATAATAATTAAATATTATTAAACAAAAATAAAAAAATTATTATAAGAAAATAAATATTTCAAAATATAGAAAACAAAAAATAATGAAAAGAAGATTTAATTGTGGAGAAAAAGATGGATGGAAAACATTGTATGTAAAAAATAAAGTCAAATAAATTTTATAAATTTTCAATAGAAAAATTTTGTTTCTTTTTATTTCATTTCACGGTAGGCTCGTGACCTACCTATTAAATTTAATGACGTTAGTAGTTGGTTCATAGTTATTTACAATATCGTGCACCAGCCCTATGCTCCTCCCAGGAGCAAAGTAGAATTTTTAAAGGCTTTAAACAATCCGTTGTTGACACATATTCACCAGTCTTCCTGAATTTCGTTAAATGAGAACTCAACTCGATTTCTTTTGTTAAATACTGCTTTAATTTACTAAAAAAATATGCTAGACGTCCATTATTCGATTGCCTTGAGTTTGTAGTTCATAACATGTTATAATTCAATTTTAAAAACAAAAATACCTAACCATTTGTGGTTTTTGTATCTGTTGTTTTCAATTTTAATTTGCATTTCAATAAAATTTTTTAATATTTTTAAAATAATTCAGAACAATTTCAAATTAACAAGATTAATCCGTACTGAATTCCAAACATAAACAAAATTCAATAAATTTTTAAGAATTTTTCTTATATCAAAATATTTTTAAAAAATGTAGTATAAAGATAATAGTAATGAAATAAAAACAACATATTTATAACAATAAAAATGTTTCATATATTTTATATTATCATTATTGTAAAAAATAAAATTATACAAAATTTCTTACAATTAGAGAGTTCTGTATTTTTATTTTCTTGAAAAAATCAAAATGGTAAATTTAGTAAACTAACCATCTAAATGAATTAACAATATTGCTATTAAAAAAAAATCCAAGTTTTACATAGGTTTTTTGTTATTTTTCTTTTTTTTTTCTATATACTAGCTATTATATAAAAGTAATTTCCCAGTCATGTTGTCATTTAAAATAACTAATTATTGTGATTTACTACTTTGATTGTTATAAAATTAAAATATTCAAATAAAATTATATATATATGTAGTTATGTATGTGTATTAAAAATTATACACTAAAAGTTCGGGAAAAATTTATCAAAGAATTTCATAAGTAATTCAAAACCTACAAAACATGCAGCATTTGCTGGGAATGCTCTTAACATAACCGGTGTTACACCTTTATAAAGAGCTCTTGGTCCTTCTGTTTTTAATAATTCACTTAAAACTTGTCTTACACCACCAGGATATCTACCACTTGGAGCTAAAATAAAAATTGAATAATTATTATTTCATTTCTTTTAGATTAATTTTTTAATTTTTATTATTTTATTTAGGTGCACGTGTATTACTTACCAGTTTGTAATCTGCTTTTAATAACATCTGGTGGCATACCTAAAATCCAATATGCCATACCAGCTGCACCACCAGCAAATATTGTTTGTAAAAGACTAACTGTTTGTGAACCAGATCTTTCTTTCGCTTTATCCTGAACATATTCATAAGCAAAGAAATAAAGACCACCTCCAGGAATTTCTACAAAATATAATATGTATTATTAAAAAAAAAATTATAGTTTTTGTTAAAAATTTTAATGTCAAAATTAATATCGATTTTTTTTTATCATTTGAATCGATTATGTTTGATATAACTTCAATTTCCGATTAGTAAAGTATAAAAAATTTTAATGCAATTTTAAAAATATTTATGACCTATTAAACTATTGAAAATTCTTTTTGTTAATAAATAATAACATTTTAATTAAAAATTTTTTTGGCGCTTTTATTATTTCTTACTATACTATGTTTAATTGTTTTGAATTTAAATAAATGAAGAGATAAACTTATTTGTGTTGTTGTATTGTGATTTTATCAAAATATTTTTTATATTTTTTATTAAAAATATAGAAACTTTTAAGATATTGTGGCGACTACAGTAAAATTTATCTGCTTCTTTATAGTTATGTATACACGATTAAAAATATATACAAGAATAATTTCTTAGTTCACACTTTTGTATATAAATTAAGAAAATTTGGATATTATTTAGATCATCACTAAAATCACGTCTTCTGTGATTGAAATGATTTTATGTGCTTTATTTCTTTATATAACCGTAAGTATTTATTGTTTTCTAGGTACAAAATTTGATCGATTAAAATTACATACTTCGATTAAAATTATATACTTCGAAAATTTTATTATTTACTATCTATGTACATATAACGCGATAGTTCACCGTATCGTAAATCGAATGGGTCAGTAGCTAAATATTATTACAAATAAGCAATTTTTTCATTTATTAAAAAACAAAAGTCTGAAGATCCGTAGCTCTTTGTTTGGTTTTCTTGCTTTGAATTTATAATATAGAAAATTTTTAAAAAATCTTATTATCTTTAAATATTTTAATACAAAAAGACAATATGGTTGTACGATATGTGTTCTGTTGCAGTTGGGATAGATTGACGCGGCTCCGCGATGGGTTCACTTAGGCCATTTAAGTCCGTTATGGTACGAAGACATTTAATTTAATTGAAATTTTTCTTAATTAAATTTAAATAACAATGATGTAATAGAAAATTGTAATAATAGAATGAAATAAAGATTGAAAAACTGCAATAATTTTTATCAAATTCTATTTTATATTTTAAAATATATATTTTTTTTTATCTTTAGACATAGTTTAAAATTTTCCTTTTTTTTGAATTTCAAAAGATACCAGAAATGCATATACAAATTATGTGTGTATGTGAATCTATTTATGAATGCATTTGTTATATAAAATGGTATAAAAGATATTTCAATATTATAAAATCTTTAAAGAAATGTAAAAAAAAACAAAATATCCATTAAAACAGTAAAAAAGAAATAAAACAAATTTACTAAATAAAAGTACAAATCTAATAATAAATGCAATATAATCATAAAGAAACTGTTATACATGCATACTATGATGGTGTACCCACAATATAACTACATAATAATTATTGATAGTGTAATATTAAAAAAAAAAATTACAAAAAATTATATACTGATAAACAACATCCTTCTAAAAACAAAAAATATAATAAAATAAAAAACAAATGCTCTAAAATTATAAAGTTTTGCAATAAAATAGAACGTTGGTCGCAATTACCGCCGCATTTTTAAAAAATTTTTCAACATAATAATTATAAGAAATAACCATTATAATTAAATTTGTTGTAAATTATTAGAATTAAAACTACCAAAAAGTGTTGCTTCAGTAATAGAAGAAACTGAAGCTGTCGTGATGCAAAATTTCTTTATCAAGCAACTTCTGGGAAATATGGGGTAAATTAAAATCGCCACGATTTTAATTTACTGTAAATCGATATGATGATATCGTCTTCCGCGTTAGCAACAGCCGAAATATATTCAAGAACCTCAACTAAATTGTTATAAATATTACAAGAAGAGCTAACTAGAATGTAACAGCAAACAAGAAACCCAAATTTTTTGACAAAACAAATTTTGATTGCATATAATTCTAAAGGGCTATTCATTAAAAAATTATAATTTCTTAGGTGCTTACATAAATATAATATGATAAAATCTAATGACTGTTTACACAATGTCATACTGAAATTATCTCAGACTTTACGTCGAAATTTAACAATTTGTCACGAAAATTATAATCAAAATAATAATCAATGGATCGCTGTCACAAAACCTTCCACAAAAAAATTAATTGTCGTCATTTTACTATTAAAAATTCTAATGAGAAACATGGTTTACATAAACCACTTTACATTAGACTCAGATTAAATCGTAAATTTTGTCGTATACGCAAAACAGTAACTTATGCAATATGTGACAGACGGATAGTAAAATAATAACAAATAAGTTTCTTTTTTGTTTTGTTTTTGTTTCATTTTATAAGAAATAAAGAAAATAATAATAATCGACACTTCCCTTATTCTATGATGAGATTTCGTTAAATATCGTATATTATTCTACTAGGTCTATCACATGGCAAAATTGTTGAAAATTTCAGTCTTCTTTAAAACATCTCGGTATGATTATGCGTTAAAATTATTATTTTTTTTTTAATTATTAAAAATAATATTTGTTTTTTTGTTTTTTTTTTTGTTGTTTTTTAGTGAAATGCAATTAAATATACATGTATATTTCAAATATATTTTTTCTTTGAATTTAATTTAGAAAAAATTTACATTAATATTATATTAATTAATTTATTAAATTTACGAGTAAATTTAATAAAAAAGAAGAAGAGATGAACATGAAATATTATATTTTAATAATTACGATATTCTTTACGAGTTTTATTATAGTAAGAAGCTTTTTTTAAAATAATACAAAAAAATATACAAAATAAAAAATTTAGTCAAAAAAAGAAAATTTAAAATAATTATTTTTCGATTTAAAAATTAATATTTTTTTTACAATAGATTACGATATTAATTAATGTTAAGAATATTAGAGAATTAATAAATATTACGGTATTGAAAATATAATATGCCAATAATTAAAGGATTAAATAATTATATAATATATAATAAAAAACACTACATAAGATAATTTAAATAATTAATTAATTAATTGGACTCCATGTAAAAAAGAAAGTACTAAAATGGATTTATATGGCGGCAACTCTTAATTGTTTTAAGGCTTACATAACAATATACGCCAACTTATCAGTAAAATAATAAAAATTTATACATATGTACATAATAAATCAAATGCGAATAAAAATAGAATTAGTAACAATTCATTTCCATTAGAATTAATAAAAGAGAATTACTAAATAAAATGAAATATTAAAAAAATGTTCATTAAATAATTCAAAATATATATACAAATAATTAACGATAATTACGATATTAAACTGTTAACAATAATTATTTAACTAAATGATTTAATAATTAATAATAAATATATAAAATTAAATTAATTATAAATAAAAATATAATAAATAAGTAAAGCAAATATTAATAAATAAAATAATAATTTTAAGTAAATATTAAACGAAAATAATTGAAAAATTGAGTATAACAATTTTAATTTTTCATTCCAAGGGATTGAAATCAGCTCAAATTAAACTGTGTATAAATAAAGTGTTAAATGTAATATAAAAACTAAATTTGTACAAAGCGTTTTATACGCACGCGTTAAATATTGGGGATTAAATTAAAATATAAAAACTTATTCAAAAATAAAAAAAAAAATTTATGTCTTACTTTATAATTTAAAAAGTAAATAACATAAATCAAACTGAGTTATATTTTAACTATGTCTGAACAAAAACATAACAAGAACAGGAAAAATTTTTTCTTTAAATTTTTTCCATCATGATTTATTATTAAATTTGATTAAATTGAAAAACATACATTATTCAGATTTACTCGAATATTTAATATTGAAATTTTGATATTTTGACAGGAGAGTCTGAGTGCCGAAATATGGAATGCTGATTATGATAATATTAATTGCCCTAAACAATGTTTTTGTCAAAATGCACATTTTATGGATCTATCAATATCAAGATGGATAAATTTTATGAATTCAGGAAATAATCAAATGAATAAATTAAATTATAAAGAAGAAGATTTGGTTAACAATAATGAAGTAAAATTAAAAATAGAAAAAAAAATTTTATTTGTTTTAAAATTTTATTGTTAATTATTTTTTTTTCATTTTCACTCAGGCATTATATGAAGGAGATGATTCTTATTTAACAAATCCATTAATAAAACAAGCAACTTGTATTTTACAAAGGAACACTGATCCTAAAGAACTATTTGAACAATTACCACATGATATCCAATCACTTGTAATATTATATAGTGAAACTAAACATAATATAACAAGTATTTTTCTTTTGCATATTGAAATCTTTGCAATAAAATTAATATTTTTGTATTTTCTTAATTTTTTAGTTTTAACTAGTTCATTGAAGCCTTTAAATCAATTATCAACTTTAGAAATACGAGGACCAGCTGATCAAAGTTTAAGATTATTAATTGATGAACCATTAGATTTTCTGGTAAATGCAAATTTCGATTCAATTAAATTGGAAGGCAGTGAATTATTTAAACGACCAAAAAATCCAATTCATCCAAGTGAAAGTTTCAATTATGTTCCAAATAGTGAAAAAATGGCAACATATAATTTATCATTGGAAATAATCGAAAATGAATATGAAATTTTACCATATGAGATTTATGTAAAAGAAATGAAAAAATCACGTATGCCATCATTTTATAATTGGAAAAGTTTAGAAATTTTGAGAATTTATAAATGCCATTTAGATGAATTACATTGGGAAATGTTTGATGGATTATCGGAACTACAGCATTTATCATTAGAAGAAAATGATATAAAAATAATACCAGCATTTGCCTTATATGGTGCTTTACATATTAAAACATTATCATTAGCTCACAATAATATATTTGATTTACATTATAGATCATTGGCTGGATTATTAGATTTAGAAATTTTAAATTTGAGTTTTAATAATCTTACGAAATTATCAGAATTGACGTTTCCACCTTTCCCAAAATTAGAAATCATAGATTTTCGCCATAATCCAATACATTACATTTTTCCAGCAACATTTGGAGTTATGAATACAACACAAGTTATATATTTAGGGAGTAATGATATGATGCTCGAATTGAATAATAATAAACCGTTTGAGTCACTTAATATGTTAAAATATTTGAATATCAATAACATTTCTATAGCATCCTTAAATCAGAACATTTTTAAGAATTTAAAACAAATCAAAACTCTAACAGTACATGGTTATATTGGTAAAATTGATTTTGATGCGTTTGTAGATTTAGAAGAATTAAAGGATCTAAATTTGAGTTATTGTGGTATTAAAGAAATTTCAATGGATGCTTTCATCGGCAGTGTGAATTTGGAAATTATTGATTTGTCTAATAATCAGCTTACCTATATTCAACCAGGAACTTTTGATGATCAAATTAATATAATTGAAATATATTTACAAAATAATAAATTAAAATTTTTACCGTCAAATTTTTTTATGAGTTCCACTTTGAAACTTCTTCGCTTAACCGGAAATCCATGGAAATGTTCTTGTGATATGATCTTTTGGGAAAAAAGAATTACAAACCAATTTCGAAATATGAGAATAGAAAAGTGTATAAAAGACTTTAAAACTGAAAAGATAATTTCTTGTAAAAAAATCAATAGTTACAGTTTTGATAATAGACTATCGCCGAGATGCCAAAACCTAAAAAATCGCGGCTTGTACTATGTTCTTCGTCGAGATCTACAATGCGGCATAAAACAAGACGGTAAAAAAGGTTTAAAACACCTTAAAAATAATGAGCAAGATAATAATTTAAAAAAAAATCATAAGGAAAAAGTAAAGAAAAATCGTGAAAATAACGAATTTGAAAAAGACGCTAGTAGTAAGAAAATGCGAAGGAATAAATGGAAGAAAAACTCAGAAAAGAGATCAAATTCTGGAAATAAAGGGCATGTAAATAGTTTAAAATATTTAAGTACACATAACAATAACGAAAACGAATTCGCAAATATTTTTGGTAAAATTGATGATTTAAATTCATTTAACAATATCTAAAAAAATAATTTGAATTAGGTATTTGCAATCGGTTTGTTGCTCAAACCTGTTTTAATCGAATATTACTCATATCGTCTTTTAAGTTTTAAGATAGTTATTTTTAAACTATAACGATTAGTATAATACTAAACGTGTAAAAAAATGTATTATGTACATTAAATAAACTTAATTCACAAAAATCAAAATGGTATTCCAATGTATTTAAAGCTAAAAACTTTATAAACGTTATGAAAAGCATTCATAAAAGTTGACTAATTTAAAATTAAAGTGTACTTACCTCTCAAAAATGTTGGAAGTGTACCTCTATACAGACTTTTCATGCCACCTTCCCTGTACAATTTTTTTGCACAGTCAACCATACCGTTATATAACTTTGGCCCCTCAGTATTAGCTTGAACTTGTAATAAACACTTAATTCTTTCACCTGGTGCCACAATAATCGTTGTAAAACATCCTGAGAAAGCCCCAGCCAAAAAATGGTCATTATATGTGAGCTTATTATCACCCGTTTGTAACAAGCGCTTCCCTAATCCATAACCGAAGAAACTTATTGCAAATATCGGTACAACACCAACTAATGGTGCTGACATTCCTTTATATAACCCGCGAAATCCTTCATTTTTTATAGTTTTCGACGCACAATCAAATGTTCCAGCATATAATGGAGCCTGGCCGGCTGCTGGAATCGGCATAGTTTGTAATCGCACCTAAAATTAAAAACAATTAACATCATTTTCTTTCTGTGTTTGATTTACTATTTATTATTTAATTCAACTTTCATTTATGTATTTAAAAATAAATTAAATGAAATTGGATTCCAGAAAAACCCGAATGTTTTGATTATATGGATTATATACACATAAACATATATACATTCAAAATATTATACTCTATTTAAGAGTTGATTGAAATTAGAAAACAAATTCATTAAATGATCATCTGACCAATATCGAAATTTAAAAAGTGAAATTATTTGCTTAGAGGACAAAATTATATTTTTGAGATTTGGATCGTGGCACAAATTTATAATTAACTTCCAATATCAATTAGTACTAATCAATTTGAAATTTAAATATATTAAAATTTATATGTCTTTAGGTGTATGTTCATCTAACGTTACCTTTATTGTATCAAGAGGATGTCCTGTGATTACAGTACATATTCCACCAAATCCTCCGCAAAGAAAATATTTTGCTGGGTTTGTCTTTTGTTCAGTCATAATTAAAATAAATTGTTACGAAAACCTCTGAATATTTATATACCCTAAAAGATATAAAAAAGAGAAAGTAAAAATTTTATATCACACGACCTTTGTACTTTTAGTTATATAGTTACATAACTGAGTGATAAGATAAAAATCTCTATTGTATTTGGCATTTTTATTTTAAATTACAATATTAAAAGCAAAACTTACCAAAAACCTATAATTTCCTTACTATTTTGTTTAAGAATTAATTCTTGAAAAAACTTTAAGAATTACTCAAAAAGCTTCCAGTTTAGTTACAAATATTTTATAGTTTTACACTTTAATTAACTTATACTATTGATTTTAAAAGAAGACAACATAAAATGCAATTAATTAATTTTATTTCAAAAAATAAAATCATCAGCCTTATTTTATGTAGGACTCGCCAAATATAAATATAATAATTTATGTAAATAGAAGTCCAAAAGATGCTTTGACAAACCAGTAGTTTATCATACTTTTGTATAGATGTTTAATTTTATTATACTTGCTGTCATATGATAAGCAACAGCTGTTTTATTCACAATGGCTATATGAAAGTCAAATTCACGGTGAAATATTTTAGTACTAAATTTTCTGAAAAAATTATGTTAAGAATTTTGATGAAAAAACTTACGATATCATTATCTATTAATATTATTATTTAGACTATTTTAATAATTTTATTTTAATAATAATTTTGATTATTTATTTGTTTAAAATAAATAATTAAAAACCATTTTGGCATAACTTGGAGACACATAAATTTAAAATAAATCTACTTATTATTCCATACTTAAAGAAAATTGATATTTGACAGTTGCGTCAACATAGGTAACATTATATACATGAACTGTGTGTCCAAATATTAATCGTCAATTTATTTGACTTTATTAACCCCATATTATTATTTTTTATGTTTTTTTCTTTTTGTTTAGATAAAAAAGGAATCTCTCTAATATAAAACTTTCTTTTAATCTTCAAGAAACCAATTAAAAAAAAAGAAAATTGTTTTCTTTATGTTTTTCCTCTACAAAATATTAATGAAAGTTTTTATTACAGCAATGGGGTTGTAAAAAATGTACAAACCCTCAATTTTGTTCAGTAAAAATTAAAGTTTAAATTTAATTTTTTCAATAGAATCTAAATGAAGATATGCAAATAGTAAAAAAAAAATTCTTTAAAAACAAAAACTATATATTATTATAAAATTACATAAACACTATCGAAAGCAACATTCGAGCAAAATTTAACAATACATAATGTTATTATCATTATTTAACGAAACGTTTAAATTTAATTGTAGTACCTTGTAGATTTTAAAAACGATATTCTGAACCCTATTTTATGTTATGTCAAACAATTAATTATTTGTTGTTAGCCACCGTATAAATTGAATACAAGTCGCCAGTCGGTGAAATTGAAAACTGAACTGTCTGTTTTAGAGTTCTAACTTACCGTAAATTAATTGGGAGCAAAAAAATTCAATCGATTAAATTATTGATCCAATTAAATATATTATTTAATAATGGTTTTTTGATCGACTATTGTATAAAACAAATTAAATTAAACATTTCATATTATGCAGTAATAAAAATTTTATATTGTTATTCATTACTATTATTATTAAAACACTATATTAATTCACTTTGCTTATTCAGCAATGATACACAGAGGGAGAACTGATACAAAATGTAGTAAAATGATACAGTTGTATTATTCTAAGGTCTCAGCTTTGCTTAAATCTACTAAACGCTTTTAAAAAATTCGTCTTGTCCTTTGTTTTATTTTAAAAATATTATTTAAATAATTAAATTAAAAGTAATAAAGTATTAAAAATGTCTAGTGCTAAATATTTTGCATGGTGTATTATATGAAACAGACAAATTTATACGAAAAAAGAAAATATATAACACTTATAAAACTAAAAAAAAATCTAAAAAATGGCGTCAGATGAGAATAATATAATCAGCAGCTGCGAAAATGATCCAAATTTTGCAGTTATATGTCTATTCTTTGACAAATTTGCCAAAATTTTAAATATAGCACATCCTAATATTAAAAGATTACAAGAAATGTTAGAAAATACTGAAGAAGGTAAATATTTTATTAAATTTTAAGTGAAAAGAAGTGTCATGTCTGCTAAAACAAACTATACAATAATTTCAATATGATTACAATATTAAAGTGTATGCTAATTTTTTTGTTGATAAATTTCGGAACGAATGAATAAATATTTCCATATTTCAATTTTTAATTTATAATTCTATCTAAATTTCCAAAGCTAAATAATGTCATCAATCAAATTATACAGAAAAAACAAAAAAAAAAAATTTGGATAATTATACATCGTTACTTATCTATATATTAACGATGGAAATTCGACAAATTTCTAATGTAATTAAGTACCTATCAACGTACATATATAGGAATTAGATACATCTTTAAACATAGAGCATATTATATCCATTTATAAGCTATAGATGATTTATTACTTTAACTTCAAAAAATTCAAGAAGTTTTTCATTTTGAACGATTCTATAATAACCACTATGTTATGCGCGTATATGCACATACATATCTATATAATCAATACAAAATATTTAATGAAATACTTTTGGGTTATGTTTGTGTTTACATTTTTAAAAAATTGTATTGTAAAGAAATGTAATTAATTTTTATTGTAAAGTTTTTAATATATTTATTTAAAAAAATTTCAGTTGAAAAACCTTTGAAAGATTTACATATAAAATTATTAAGGAAACAAAGGAAAACTGTGCATGAAACTGCATGGGAATCTGCTTTGTGCAAATTTTGTTGGGGATTTAGTCCTCATGATGCATGGGAAATTGAAAAATTTGGCTACAAAAAAGCTAATATTAAAGTGAGGCTAAAAATATTACGAGTAAGTGTTTTTCTATTTTAAAGAAAAATTTTAATAATAGGAAAAAATAAATTATTTCTTTTAGGAACTTGTTGAAAGTCAATTTGAAAGGAATGGAAAATTTCGTTCTATAACTGAAAAAATGTCAGCTTCTGAAATGAGAAGTGAGCCAATTGGAAGGGATAAACTTGGTCATGCTTATTGGATAACTCAAGATCCTGATTGTAATATAAGAATATATCAAGAACATTCTGATGAAGAAATTTGGCAAGTAGTAGCAAAAAGTAGGGATGAATTGATTACTTTAATAAATCGCCTTAAAGGAAATGAGGTTGTATTACCCTCATTAATAGGATCTATCGATGAAGATAGTAGTAGTAACAGTTGTCTGGTAACTGCAATAAAAGCTGAACCTACAGATATAAAATGCATAAAAGTAGAAAGTAATGAAAAACAAAATGAAAATGATAATAAAGTTCCAAATATTAAAATTAAATTGCCAACTGAAAATTTAAAAACTGGAGAGACTTCTCAACCTGAAATTATAAAAACAGAAGAAATAAAGGAAGATGTAGAAAAGGTAAAGGAAAAGAGTTTAGAAGAAGAAAAGTCTGTAAAACTAGATAATGTAGAAATTAAAAAGGAAGAATTAGATGAAAAAGTGGAAATTTTAAAAATCAAGAAGGCTGAAGAAAAAGAGGAAAATTTAAAAACGGACAAAAGAGATTCAAAAATTGAAACGAAAGATAAAGTTAAGGTAGCTGAAGTAAAATCGAATAAAGTAAAAGAAAAACTTTCAAATAAATTGGATAATATTGAGAAAAAAGAACCAGTAGAGGAGGAGGAAAATGACGAAGGGGAAGAAGAGTATGACGAAGAAATCGATGAAGAAGGAGAAGAAGAAGAAGATTACGAAGAGGAAGGTATATAGAATTTTAAAAGAAATTTGCCTCTTTTGTTCGTATTGTTTTATTGTGATTATTTTAAAATAATTAAAGTTTATTCTGAAATTAAATTTGATTGAAAAATACTTGAATATTAGTATTTTTATCAAATTATAATTGAATAACAGATGCCTTGTTTTATTGTTCTTAATAAAATGTAATTTTAAATATTATTCAAACAATTAACTACTTTTTAGAAAGCGACGAAGAAGGCGAGGATAACGAAGAGGAAGAAGAAATTAAAACAAATAAAATTATTTCTGTTAGTAAATCAGAGAAAGCCGAGCTGAAAAATAAAAAAGACGACGATCAAAAAAGTTTTAACAAAATGCACAAAGAAAAGAATGATATTCGAAAAGTTAAGGTATAAGTTAAGAAATTTTAAATTTAACTTGTCAAAAAAAAATTTTTTTTTTTCAATTTTAGCCTTTAGTTATAAGCCAATCAAAGTTAGCATCATCGCCTTTACCAGGAGAACCAACTAAGGTTGTAAACAAATCATTGTTAAATTCTAAAAAACGATCTATTGAAACAGAAAACACGGAAAAAGATGACTCAATAACACACTTTCCTAAGAAACTTAGACCAACATTATTGGATGCTAAACGTTCAAAGAACGTAAGTAAATATGAAATGTTTAAAAATGTTTCTGATGACGAAGACGAAGAAGAAGAGGAAGAAGAAGAAGGCGAAGAAGAAGGGGAAGAAGATGAAGAAGGTGAAGAAGAGGAAAATGAATTGGACGGGGAAATTGGAGATGAAACTGATGAAGAAGAGGAAATTTCTGAAGTTGGGGAAGCAATTGAAGAAAAAGTATTAATTGTCAAAGGAGAAGGGAGTGGTAAAAACTGTGAAGGATCAATAGCAGATTTTTTAAATCTCAGTTCCGAATTGATTAACAGTGATCGAAATTTTTTTAGTGAAGTTATAGAAGAAGAACTACTATTTGTTTATGGTGAAGGGAGTGGTAACGAATGTTTAGTTGGAAATCCATCACAAAGTGACTCAAAAGATAAAGTTTGCAAAAAAGTTCTAAAAGAAGACGAATGCTTAAATCTTAGCAATAAAGTTAAAAGAAATTTTGAAAACAGTGCTTCAATAGAATCATCCAAGTCAAGGATATCTAACGACGAAAACAAAGCTTTAAATGAAACTCATGACAAGAAAATTGACAATAGTATAGAAAAATTCGAAAAAGATAAAACTGAAAAGAATGTGATAGTAGAAGTTAGCAAAACCGAAAAATCGAATTTAGAAATAAATGAGTCTGAAAAAGACGGAAATGCAAAAGATTTGGAGAATATTGAGAAAAACGGTGTCAATGGTAATAAAAAAAATTCTGGAAACTCTTCAAATGCGAAAAAAGCGAATAGCGCTACAACAAATAATGTAACAGACCGTGAAAAACTTAATCAGAAAGACGATAAAAAAGAATTGAAAACCGTGCCAGAGGATGATTCGGTAAAATCTACAAATTCTGCTGAAAATCATGTGGAAAAATTAATTCAACCTGCTAAGACTTCTCTAGAAGTTGAAGTAATTTCGAAAGACAAAGTTAAATCAAATGCAATATCTAAAGAAAAAACATCTGAAAAGACGAAACCAAAATGCCCTGAGAAAGGTGATTGCGAAAATAAGACTACTGTTGGTCGTAAAAGAAGATTAATGTTAGAAGAAAAAAGTAGAGTAATTTCAGAAAGCGAAACCGATCTAAATTCAGAAAATTTAGAAGATATTGAAGAAGAGTTGGAAAATGGTGAAGATTGTGACAGAATTGGTGGTAAAAGACCGAAAATGAGAAACAAAATCGTAAATACTTCTATGCGCAAAAAAATCGAAGCACAGAGAGAAGACGTTGAAAATACCTCTAGCAGTGGAAGTGGAAGTGAAGAAGAAAAACCGCGCAAAAAAATTTCACCAAAAAAAATTAATGTTCCTAAGAACACTGATAAAAAAGATTCCATTTGCGAAAAAGAAAGTTCGTTAAAGAAATCTGAAAATCCAGCAGCACCAGTGCCTGCAAAAGAGAACGATTGCCCTTTTAAGTGGAAAAAGAAATTGACTTGCAACAAATTAGATGCGAAAATTGCTTCTCTAAAGGAAGCCAAAGAGAAGGATCTTCAAAGTGAACTAAAGCAGAAAGCAAATAAAAAAGATGTTGATGAAATAGTTATAGAAAAAAAGATTTCCACTAATGGATCATCCATTCCTCAACAAAAAAGTGTCTTAAAAGATGAAGAGATCTCTACTGGTAAATAATTTATTTTATAAAAGTTCAATGTTTTTAATAATATTCTTAATTTTTTTTGTTTAACCAGTTTCAACGAAGGAAGATGATAAAGAAAAAACACGTAAGAGATCAAGTCCACCGAAAAACGCAGAAACTACTAAAAAAACGCAAAGCAAGATCGTTCCAGACAGTAAAAATAATAGATCTGGCGTAAAATCCAAAACTAAAGTAAACGAAAGCGATGAAGAAATTCCAAGAAAGCGTACAACTAGCGAAGATTCACCAAATATTGTTTTAGATAAGAAAAAAGATATTGAAACAACAACTGATGAAGAAAAACAAAGTATTCGAAAAAGGGCCATAACTGATTGTGGAAAAGCTAAGCTAGAAGAAAAGGATGATACCGAAAATTGCCCAAAAAAAAGGACAGTCGTCGAAACGGTTTTATCAAATAAACCAAAGGAGTCTCCAAAAACAAAATCTGCTCCAAAAACATATAAAATTGGCAGTCGCTCGTTGCCTCAAGACAATTTCTTACGAATAGAAAAAGTTGAATCTTTATCTAGTAGGGAAAAAAGAAAATTGGTACCAATTGATATTCCACCACCAAAAAACAAAATATTTACCGATTCCGAAAAAGAAGATAAACCAAGTTTTGATATTGAAAGAGCATTACCACAGAATTTAATTATTTTAAAAGAAAAAATTGAAGAAAAAATAAAAATTGTAGTAAGAACTTGTTCCGATAAAAAGAAAAAAAGTAGTGATGTCCCTACTGTTGTGACACAATCAAAGCGTCGAGGACGTGCGAATCCAATAAATCAAAAAAATACACCAATTGGTAAATAAAACAAAAATTTTATGTAAGAATAATTTTAAATTTCATTATTTTAGGTAAAAAACCAAAAACAGAAGAATGTAAACTAGGTGTAAAAAGCGAACCAAGAGAAGAAGATCCGTTAAAGTTGTCTCCCGAAAAAGAACAACCTCAATCAACGGAAAAGTGCAACAATATAAACGCCCAACAGGAACAAAAAAAATCAACTGAAACAAAGAAGGAAACTGTGCCCCGAAAACCTAGAAAACGAGAAATAGATATTAGTAATATTATCGATCCAGAGTCTGACGCAATTCCAATGAGGCAATCTCGACGAATAGCTCAATTAAAAATAAGAGAAGAAGCAGAAAGACGCAAGTTGGAAGAAATCGCTTTGAAGAAGATGAAGGATGATTTACGAAAAAGAAAGAAAGAAGAAAGACAATTGTTGAACGATCCAACAGTGAGTGAACCTTCGTCGGAGTCTTCGGATTCAGAAAAATCTTCAAAGAAAAAATTTGAAAAAATGAAAAAAAAGGGTAAAGGCAAAGATGGGTGGAGTTCGGGAAATTCCGATGAAGATGAGCACGATGCTGATGAAGATGATTTGTTCCGATATCCTCCATCAGACCATGGTTCACCTCTATTTAAATCAGATCACGAATTTTCTCCTGAGTCTGACATTGAAGACGAATCTCAAATTGTGCCTTTAAAAAGGGCTAGAACTGTGCGTAAAGAAGGTGAACTGGCTGAGCCTATAGACAGCGATGAAGCATGTCAGAAATGTGGTAAGGGTGATCATCCTGAGTGGATTTTACTTTGTGATAAATGTGATAAAGGTTATCACTGTTCCTGTTTGTCGCCTGTTTTATTTATAATCCCGGAAGGTGATTGGTTTTGCCCTCCTTGTCAACAAGAGCAGTTAATAGAAGCTCTTGAAAGCCATTTGAAAGTGTTTGATGAACTTGTTATAAAACGTAAAGAAGAAGAAATTGCCGAGCAAATAAGAATTGCTGAATTGGAAGCTGCAGAAAGAGAGCGAGAAGAGCTTGAAGAGAAAGAAAAAGAAAATAAAAAGAGTCAGAAAGGCGACAATAAAAAGAAAAAATCTTCTAACGGAATTGATAGCAAAACTGATAGACGATCAGATGGGTCCGAATGTAGTTTTGGTAGCAGTGAAGCTGAGTGTAGTGAAGATGAAGTTATTACAAAAACTAAAAGACAAAAAGTCTCCGAAAAAAATCGTAGTAATAGGCGTAGGTCATCACATTCATCATCAAACTCAAACACTTCATCGAAGGGAACTGGTTCAGCTACAGATAGCGATGATGAACCTATTTATAAATTTCGAAAAAGACGTCAAATCAATATAAGCTATAATTTTAATGAATATGATGATCTAATAAACTCTGCTATTAAAAAAGATATGGATGCAGAAGCTGGGGCAGGAAACTTAGGACGTGGAAAAGATATTTCCACTATAATAGAGGCAGATAAAGAAGAAAAGGCAAGATTAAAACAACTTGAAGAGAAGAAAGCTATTGAGGAAAGTAGGGGAAAAGATGACAAAGAAAACATTGAAACTACTATAGTTAAATCTAAATCAAAAAAGAGTGATTCTGACAGCGATTTTAAACCAGTAAAATCTAAAAATAGTCGTAAAATGTCCAAAAAGAAATCTAGGAAGCTAAATTGTTTAGAGGTCTCTTCGGAAGATGATGGTTCAGATGAAGATTTTAAAACTAGTTCCGATGAGGATGACGAGGAGGAGGATGATGATGATGATTTATCTTTCGACAGTGAGAGCAGCTTAGAGGTTTATCGACGAAAAAAGAAAAATGGAAAAAAGAAGACAAGAAGAGCTGCGAGGAGAGCAGCAAGGGAAAGAAGGAGAATTAAAGATTTTGTAGTTGAAGATTCAGAACTCGATTCAGAAGAAGAAAAACCAAAAATGAAAAAGAAAAGAAAGAAACATGACTCAGATTATACTGAAACTGAAGAAACTGATGATTCTGTTGAGGACGAAGAGGACCTCAACAGTGAGGAACTTTGTGACGACTCTACCAGCAGTAGCGATGGAAATTGGAGACCTGGAAAACGTAAAAAGCAAAAAGCACCAGCCAAACTTGCTAAAAAAGAAGCAAAAGGAAAAGTGCCAGTTGCTGTAAAAACAACCAAAAAAATTAAAAAAGTCGATGATGATGAAAAACCATATAAGGTTTCTGCTAAACCTAAAATTGTTGCTGCCAAAAAGAAATCACAATTTTCCGATGATAGCACGGATAATACGACAACGGATTCAGACTCCGAAGCAGCAAGAAAAACTAGAGGAAGGCGATTATTTTATATTGATGATTATGAAGACGAGGATAGTTCAGATAGCGGTATCAAGCCAGGGGTAAAACGGCCAGATACACCACCTGAAGAAAGGGAAAAATTCATAAAACAACAAGAAGAAATAAAAAAACGCTTACAAGCAGAAAAAGAAGCTAAAGCAAAAGCTGATGCGGAAGCTAAATCAAAAGTGAAGGAGCCTGAGAAACCTGGTTCATTATCAACGGTGCCCTTGTCTGTAATCAGAGCAGCAAAAGCGTTAGATGCAGATTATTTGCAACGCAAAGGGGAGGTAACTAATGCTGATGAAGAAGAAGATGACGATGATGATATAGCAGCAGCTGCTGCTTTTAACGACGCGTTACCTGACGACTTTAATCCAGATGATATGGATGAAGAATCAATAGCAAAAATGATGGAGGAAGAGGACTATGCTCAAAATCAATTACATTTTCCTCCTGCTACAGATATACTAAGTAAGCCCAAGAAAGGTGCTACACCGGTAAAAGTCACACCATCAGAAGTCTCTCCACCTGCTTCACAAATTAGTTCTTCAAGTGTGTCAGTTATACAGGATCCAATTCGGAAAAAATTGCCGATTCCAACATTCAGTCCGTTGATGAGACCAAATCAAGTGCCCAGCAGCCATCCTCTATTGCAAAATGCTTTAACCAATCCGGGAAGTTCAAATCCACATACTAATAATGACCTAGACAATCAAGGTAAGCCAAGAGGACGAAGGAAGAAAATAACGCCTTTAAGAGATCCAATGGAAAAGGCCGCTGCTGCAGCTGCTGCGGCTGCTGTTACATCCTCTTCGCTATCAAAATTGCCGCCTCCTGCTACACCTCCTGAAGTAAAAGAACCCGAAGTACGGCCCAATCCTCCACCTCTTGCCAGAGCTCCAAACGTCGATCTGAATGTTGCACAACCTCCGCAATTGTATAAACCGCCAAACAATGTTCCACAACCTTCAGTTATAACAAGAATGCCACAGATTCCTCCACGCCTTAGATATCCAGATCAAGGTAAATTTTATAAGGAGTATTTTATAAAAGAAAAAATGATTTTATTAAATAATTATAGGGTCCCGTTACTTCGCTCCACAAATTCCAACAAGCCATTCAAGGATTCCACCAACATTAAGACACCCAATGCCTCCACCGCATCATACTTTAAGACCTTCTTTCGCTGGAGGCCCGCCACCATTACGTTCTAATTTGCCTCCACCAAACAATTCTCCTTTAAGTTTAGTAAATGACCGTCCGCTATTACCTCCGTCAAGCAACTCTCCAATTAATCTAGGAAATCGGGGTAATTTACCTCCATCAAGGGGTCCTCCTGATATACTGAGGGCTCCAACAACTTCATCGAACAGTGTATCAAAAACTAAACAAATAGGACTTTCACCAAATAGTATTTTAAATAATATTCGACCTAATCGATCATCTGGGCCACCAAATATAACTCCAGTTAACTTAGGGGTTGGTCGATCTTTAGGTCCTAGGCAACCACCACCATTTAATCCGGATCAATATTCCGGTCACAGATCCAGACCTCCTTCGCATTTAGGACCTTACAGGTGAAATTGATATGTCTTTTTTGTTTATAAATTGTTTTACCTATGTTTATTTTATCTTATGTTAAAGGCCACCAATATTTGGAGCTCCAGGATATCCACCACCACCTAAATCACAGCATCCAGGTAAGAAAAAAAATTAAAAATATATGTAAAATGTACAATCATTATACAATTTTAGGAGTACCTTATTCCCTTAACCCCATTGGTCCACCAAGACCTCAAAATCCCCACAGTTTGATTCCACCAGGATCGCAAGTACCCCTTGGACTCTCTATATCAACATCAGGATCATCAAGGCATTCCAATCAATCACCCTCAGATCCACCACCAGCAAATTCATCATTATCTAGAAATCAACCAATATCTCCCATAACAGTTAGTCCATCTGGTTCATTAAGACCGACAAATCCAGCAAGATCTCTCGGTCCGCCTAATATTTCAATAATGCCTATACCTTCACGCTTATCCATACCTCAAAGCCATTTAGTTGCAATAAATTCACCAAGTTCGCCGCGTGTATTGGGACCTCCAGGTCCACCAATTCCAACGGTTTCACGAGATTCACATGCTCCACCGCCATCCAGTTATTATCCACCCCCAATTGGTCATCATTTAATTTCACTTGGTCCTCCACCACCAGCAGTTCCAACAGCTTCAGCTCCCAGTTCAGTTATAGTATCAACTTCAAAATTACCACCTGCAGCAATTATACCGCAACCACCAGTACCACGATCATTATCACCAGTTTCAGTTTCCGCAAGATCAGTAGCTCCAGCACCAGTCCCATCGACACCATCTTCAACATCACAACAAACAACGACAACAACTTTGCGACAACAACCCTTACCACCCCCACCAGCAGCAGCGACAGCAGCAGCAGGATCTACTACAATATCATCATCATTATTAAAATCCAAAATGAATACTCTAGAAACATTTGATTCTAAAGATGCAAGTGCTCCAATTGATTTACATCAACGAGATAATGATGAAGAACCAAATGATTCTCATCCGTCAACAGTAGTACCAGCTTCATCATCATCAAGTAGTGAATTTAGTGGTCTTGTAAGTTATTTTAGTTCACAACATGATGATTTTAATACATAACAAGTGAATATGAAATAAATTAATTGCTATGTATGTATATTGATTTTAATATTATAAAAATAAAAAAAAAAAACTATTATATATTCGTATATAAAACATAAATATATATATATATATAAACATAATGTACAATATTACCTAATTATGTATGTAAAATATACATATTATATTATTTATATAAGATCAAAATAAAATAACATATTTATATAGTATGAAGTTTAATATATGCATATATTTTATATGTATATATATTTTCGAATGCCTACTTAATGAACAATTTAATTAAAAGAAATTGATAAAAGGAAAAAAAACAAAAAAAAAACATAAATATATTGTTAGTATACGCGTTTTTTTATATATATTAAATAATAGTAAAATTTAAAAATTTATATTATATAAAGGAAAAAGATATTTGACACAATAATTCTACTTAATAAATTTCACAAAACAAAAAAATGGAGAAAAAAATTAAAAAAAAAAACAAAAAAACATTAATTAACTTATATAATTTATATTCTTAAATTTAACTTAAATTAAATATATTTTTCACACTTTTGTTAGTTTTAAATAAAATTTTGGATTTTATATTTTAATTCGATAGAAAATTATACATACATACACACACAAAATTGTATAACAATTTATAAAAATAAAGAATATATTTTTTTTCTTTCTTTTTTAATTGAAATTCAATATAAATCATTAAAAAATAATCATTAAAAACAAAAGCCGCAACTAATTAGTATATAATTCATAATAATTGTAAATATTGAAAAGAAAAAGTAATTGTAATTATTAAAAATCTAATTATAAATATAATTTACATTAAAGCATATAAACATATAATATATTTATAAAAATAATACATGTATTTGCAACTTAAAAAAGGAAAAGAAATTAAATTAAAAAAAAATTGTAAATTAAAAAATTAGTCTTATATATATAGAGTATTATAGTATAAAAAAAACAAAAAAAAAATTTGCAATTAGTTATGATATCATTATAATATATTTAAAAATATTAGATGAACACATTATTTTTTTTTATTTTAAAGCAAAAATACAATATAAAATCTATAAAAATATTAATTATTTAAAAAAAAGGAAGAAATATTCGAATTTATTATAATATTATTTTTTCTTTTCTTGTTTTAATTATCTTTATAATTTTTTTTTATTATTATTATTATTAATTAATGTTTTATTGAGTATTTAAAAAAAGAGCAAAAACTATTCAGAATTAAAAACAAAAAAGTAAAGCAAAAATAATATCTTACACAAAAATATTTAAATAATTATATAATTTATTTCATGCAATCTAGTATTAATATTTTTATTAATGGAAATTTATTTTTTAAAATAAAAATAAATAAAATTCAAAAAAAAAACATTAGTTTATAAAAAGAAAAAAAATTTAATTTTAAAACAACTTAAATAAATTCGTTTAATAATAATTTAAAATATATTTTTTCAACTGAATTCTTATTTCATCATTGGTCATCAAAGAAAATAAAAAATATTTTTTCTAACTATAAATGCCCTAAAGAAATCATAAAACGCAAATGCTCCAAAATAATAATTTTTAAGCAATCATAAACTTTTAATGTCTCCATAAACTATTGTTTAAAAACAGAATTATAAAAAAAAAAAAATTCTTTCCAGTATTTAATACAATAAAAGAACGTTAATCGAGCAATCTGTTAAGAAAGGTTTGGACGTTTTAATTGGTCAAATCCCTTATACAGAATATTAATTGAATATGAGGTAACTGTTATATTGTGTATATAAAAAAGAAAATTGTGTTGACCGGAACTTAAAAATTAATTGAAATTTTATTAAATTTAGCAAAATTGGAATTAGCTGTTTTTATAACAAAACCGAAAAGTAAGTAAGTATAAGTGTATTTACAAAAAAAAAAGATAAAAAAAAAAACAAAAATAACTTCTGAATGTTAACTGTTCTTATTGTTGTTAGATTTCTAAATTGAAACTGTTTAAAAAATTTTCAAAATAGAAAACAGTGTTAAAAAGAAAGCGAAAAAATTTATTGAAATTCTTGTTCTTATTTTTATTAATTCTTATGTGTAAATATTTTAAAACAAATAATTGAAATTATTAATAAAGTGTTATTATATGGCAAATATATTACAGTTTAATCCAAATTTTAAGTATACAAATTGTATATGGTTATGACAGTTTGATAAATATGCCTTGAAGTTTTATAATTCAAATAAGGAACTTAAGAAACCAATAAGTTCTTAATAAAAAATAATCAGATTTTCAAAAATTCAGTTAATAGCTTAAACTTTAATATAAAGCATGTAAAGTCTTAAAAATCTTAAAAAGTAAAATAGATTACTTTTCATCATTACGTTCGTGTAGATCTCTAATGATGTTAATTAATTGAATAATTGGATTATTGAAAGTCCCCCTTATTTAATATACAAAATATATTTACATTTATACTCGTATTAATATTTAAAATAATTAATTGTATAATTGAAAATCGTATAAAATATCATTTATAAAATTTAATTTCACTTTTATTCTTCGGTAATTTTTAATTCATAGTTGAATAATGAAAGTTTTAAAATTTACTCGTACTTTCGCATTGTGCCTACATAAATCTTTCTTGTAAATAATAAGTTTTTTTATTTTGAACTTAATTGCTATTCTCTGATATAAATTCTGTTTATTTATTTTTTTAATATGCGTAACTATAAATGCAATAAAAAAATTAATTGACTTAAAGAATAATAATTAGGAAAGTTGTTTTTTTTTTTTTAAGTTTCCATTTAAAATAGTTTTCTAAAAAATTTTATATGAATTTCTTATACTCGTACTAGAAATTTTGAAATTTTTGCATAATATTCAAAATTTTTTTTTCATTAAAACTTTGAGGTAAATCAATTATCATCATAATATTTTTGTATAACATCTACTTTCCATAATATTAATCAGTCATTTTCAGTAAACTAGGCAAATTTATAAAAAGGTCTTTATTAAAATATAAAATAGAAAAACAATAACAATAAAAATTCGGAAATATAACAAAAATAACAAATTAAAAGGGTGCGTTTATTATTAAATGCAATTAGTAATCGGGTTCATTCAACCATTCAAATAGATTTTGGGTGGCTCATTTACATACTTTGTATAACATTTTCATATATAATATAACTTAAATCTGACGAATGACGATATACACTTACATACATACAAAATGTAATCATAAATTCCAATACATTTTTCTAAATCAGATTTTAAAATAAAAAAATTGTTCAGATTTTAAAGATGTAGAGTAGACAACAATGCTTCGTATGCTTTATAACAATTATATATGTTATACATTTTAAAAAATATTTTAAATTTAGTAACTGGTATTCATTTAAAGTTAACTGATTAGTAAAATCATTTTAAACGCAAAATAATTTTTTTTATGGGTCTAGTTTAATATTCCAGAAAAAATGCATTTTATGTAAATTAAATAAGTTGTTTGGTGAAAAAATTTCTGTTTTATTTTTTTTTTATGTTTTATAATTTTCATTGCCAAAATTTCATCAACTTTCAAGTGAAAGCTGATAATGTGATAAATTAAAAGCGCAAAAATAAAAAAAAAAATAATTTTGGCTAATATCCAGTCAGATATACAATAATGTAAGTATATTTGTAAGCATTTGTTTTTTACACAGTAGGATTCAATTAAATTTTCGTTTAAGTCGCAAATATAACAGTTTAAAGTTATTAAAGTTGCAAGAATTTTAATTGGAATGCATAAAATCCGAATTAAAACAATTTAAAGTAAAGAGAAAATTTTGATTACTATAAATGGTAAACTGTTATACAACATACTATAGTTTTATACATTTAAGATTTTTATATAAAAAAAAAAAGCATTTAAAAAATTAAATGCTTTTAACTACTTACTTCAAGTTGAAAAAAATTTCTGAAGTAGTTTACAGTGTTATACAGTTTTAAATTGAATGCCGCTTATATAATAAGTGATGCATATATAACACTTATCAAGTTTTGCATATATAACATTTTATAAGTTATATACTTGAAATTCAAATTTTTTTTTAGTTTCATTTAGCTAGATTGTACTGTGTATTGCATTGTATTATGTTATGCATATTATACTGAATGTATAATGAATTATGAGCCAAGACGAAAAACAAAAAAACTAAAAAAATATTGAAAAATAACATTTTGAAGAAGTTTTCGATCCAGTAAAGGAATTTTTAAAATTTTTTGCGTCATATGTAACGATCGTTTAGTTAAAGTGGCGATTATTAAAATTTTTCGAGTGGTTTCGCTTTTTTTTTTTGGAAGAAATTCGCACGGTTCAAAATATATATTTCTATATAATTACATACATATATATATGAATTTTTTTCCTTTAGAAATCTAAGTTTGCGTAAATAGTGGAGTTAATGAAAATGTTTGCTAAACTGTTATATACTCGTAGGTATATATATGAAAATATTTAATAATTATTTCTTGTTTAGGTCAGGTGAATTCAGTATAATTTAATGATGACACATTTATTTTAATTTTAAATTTTCAATAATATCGTAAATTTTTTGTAAAAGAAAGTAAAGGCATTTGAATTTTTTTTTTTTAATGCTATATTTTTTAGCAAATATGTGTATTATATTTTTTAGCAAATATGTGTGTATGTTTGTGTACAGTGTGTATAAAAGAGTTAAACTTAAAATGTTTATCTTAATAAAATTTCTTTTTAGTATGATTAAGTGTAATATTGGAATTTTAGCTTCCGAATAAAAATATAAGTAATGAAATGACGTATTAGGTCCAAAGGATGCGCTTGCGTTTTCCGGAAGCGGAATAATTGCAATCGTAAGTCAATTTTTTTTTTGTGATACGTATAAGAAATTTTTTATTGACAAGCAAATAGAAATTATTGAGAATTTTTGCACAATTTTGTAATAAAATCGAAGAAAATGCTGTAAGTAGGGTTTTTCTAAAATGGTATTAAAATTCTCAATTTTTTTTAGGAAAATTATTTATAATTATACACAAGTATATTTGACATATTATATAGAATTTTAATACCAGAAATAGATTGCACAAAAAATTTTTCATTATACATAGATATTCTAGGCTACGGTGAATTGGTCTTTTCGTTGACTGCCACCTCTTGAAATCTATATTGTATATAAAATATTATTTTTATTGTATTTTATCCTCTTCTTTGGATTTTTTCAAAACTGTACAGCTGTTGAGTTTTTTCTTTATAAGAATAAAAATTAGAATAAGGTTTATAATTTACCATTGAGATAAATAATCACAATAATGTAAGTATAAAATTTCAAGTCCATTCTAAAAGTTGTAAAAGAATAAACATTCTTAAATCTACATATGTACATAAAATAATTAATATGCATGCATCGTAACTTTCTTTTAACTTTAAA